AGATCCTTTATACATTGGCCACATCCGAAGCCATTCAGGGCTCCCTGGACCTTTGTCAGAGGGCAACGCAAAAGCAGACGCTGCTACTCATGCTGTCGGCCTTTCCTGTGTGACGACCGAATATGATAAGGCCTTACAATTCCATAACAAATTTCATTTAAATGCACAGTCTTTACGCTTCCACACAGGATGTTCACGAGACCAAGCTTTACAGATTGTCTCATTATGTCCAACCTGTGCACCATTTATTCATTCTCCTTCCCTTGGGGTTAATCCAAGAGGACTACAACCTAATGATGTCTGGCAAACTGATGTTACACACTTCCCTAGCTTTGGTAAGCTCTCCTTTATACATGTTTCCACTGACACATATTCTGGCTTCATTTTTGCCACCTTACATACTGGAGAGAAGGCTAAGGACGTAATCAGTCATCTTCTAAAAGCCTTTTCGTCCATGGGCACCCCACGATGCCTCAAAACCGATAATGGTCCCGCATATGTAAGCCAGGCGGTTCAACGGTTTTGCACCCAATGGGAAATTAATCATAAGACTGGAATCCCTTATAATCCACAGGGACAAGCTATCGTGGAACGAGCCCATCAACATTTAAAAACTTATTTGCAAAAAACAAAAGAGGGGGAGATATACCGGAATTGTCAGGGACCACAAGCACTTCTAAGCATAACCTTATTTACTTTAAATTTTTTACTCACTGACACTGGAGGGCGCACGGCTGCACAACGCCACTTTTCCCCTCCCACTGTACAAGATGCTCAAATAAGGTGGAAAGATTTATCCACCGGAAAGTGGCAACCCCCGGCTCCACTCTTAGCTAGAGTGAGGGGAGCTGTATGTGTTTTTCCCCCAGGAACTGAGAAGCCCATTTGGATCCCGGAGCGCTGCACCAAACCGGTGAATGAAAATTCAAGACAAAATGAAGTTCCCAAGATGGCTGATCCTGCCGCTGTTGTTCTCACCCCTTCAAGTGAGTGCCGAGACACACCTCATGAGCTGGACCCCGCTTGTGGCATTCATTCTGGACAGGTTTGCTGAAGGAGGGCTTGACCCCCCACCTGGAAATATTCATGAATATCTTTTTGGAGCCCCTTGTGAGTGTAAGGGAGGGCCCCGGCACTCGGCCCCCTCTGGTTATATCCAGAGCATTGATTGTGGGACTAAAGTAGCCTACATGGCAGCTGAACTCAATGAAAACATCGGAGGATTTAAGCAACCAAATGGGTATGTGTTAATAAGCCCGGACTTGTTGTCCCTAATCCTACCGAGACTCTTGAAAGCTGTCCCGCCACTTGTCATTACACCCCGGCAATGCACATCTCCTGTTATATATCAGCCTCAATTTGTGTTAATAATCAAGAAAAACAATATTTTGAGGCCATCCTAACTAACACCCGTGGAGAATGGGGGACCACTTATAATTATATTCCTTTTCTTGGTGACCGGGGAGGGGAAGGCATCACGACTCGGTTAACGGAGGCGGGATGTGAGGGCGTCGTGGGTAAACCCTCCTGCTGGCCCATGCAGGCCCCTATCGGAATCTCTGACGGAGGGGGACCCACTGATGCTATCAAACACCTTCAGGTGATTAAGCTTTTAAAGCCGGAGATCCCTAAGCCTACATACCACCCCTTGATATTGCCCAAATCCCAGTTTCCTGATTTAGATGCCAATACATTAGATATCCTAGAAACTACCTTTTCTTTACTTAACAGTTCCAATCCTACATCATCCTAGATGATGCGCAAACCCTGTCGGGAACCATTAAAGACTTACAAGACCAGATAGACTCCCTAGCAGAAGTAGTTCTTCAGAACAGGCAGGGTTTAGACTTGCTTACTGCCAATCAAGGGGGAATTTGTTTAGCCCTTGGGGAGAGGTGCTGTTTTTATGCTAACAAGTCTGGCATAGTTCGCACAAAAATTAAACAACTCCAAGAAGACCTAGAAAAAAGGAGGAGGGAATTATTTGGGAACCCTCTCTGGACTGGACTTAATGGATTTTTGCCTTATCTTCTTCCCTTATTGGGACCATTGTTAGGCCTCCTTCTAGTAGTGGCAATAGGACCCTGCATTATAAATAAGATAGTACAATTCATTAAGGATCAAATTAATATCTTAGCCTCTAAGCCAATACAGGTTCACTATCAACGCTTGAAGATGGATGATCGCCCCTCTGAGATATACTTCAGACCGATCCGAAGATGAGTGTCCTCCTTAAAAGAAGAACTCCTGCCATATCTTTTCTCTATGCATACCTCTCCCTCTTGCCTTCCTGTACTAGGATCTTTGCTGTCTAATCTCTCCGTCCAATCACATCTGCCATTCGGTGGTGAAGGTCGTGGGTCCCGTGGGTGGAGACGGTTAAGCGTTTACCGCAATAATGTCTTGATAGGTCATAACACCTTGAGCTGATCTTGTAGTACCCAGTGACGGGCAACTTTCACGCTTGCTGTGCGACCTAAGCCAGGGAATCGGGGCCTTCCCAGAGACGGGTAAGCATCGCAAGGGCTGTGAACGACCTAAGACAGGGGCTACTTGATTCCCACTGGCATGCAAAAAACAAAAGAGGGGGACTTGTTGGCAGCAGGTCCACCTTGGCCCCTGGAGCCCCTACCTCCACTAGTTTGTTCTGCATGCCAGTGTGGACAGCTCACAAGGCCATGGCGAACTTGCGGTTTTTCTGTTCCTGCTTATCCGTCTGAGACATATGTATCCCATGGGAATGCCTTGACCTTTTCTGGTCTGATGGACTTATTGTTAAGGGAGGTTTCGGTACCTGACAATAATAGATGTTAAAACTAAATTTCTCCCCCCTCCCTCCTGCTTTTGGGTAGTTTTCCACTTCTACTGCTTGGGGTATAAAAAAAGGTGTGTTAGCAATAAAGATTATTATTGACTCCTGGATGAAGAACCTTGGTGTCCTGTGTGTCTTTTAACCTCGCCGTCCCTCGCCGGACTCGGCTCCCTTGGCCGGACGCGGCAGTCTCCAGAGTGCAGTTCACAAATCTCAGGGAGTGTGCAATATGATCCATTAAGGTGTGAAAAATTTCTATTTCTACTTCACTTTTATCCAAAAAATAAGAAATTAAGTTTTATCAAGTTTAATATATAGACATACTAGCATTTTAATATAATTTATAATTATATATACATTGGAAGTGTGTATTTACACTTTCTCTAAACTAAAAAGGGTACTACTAATAAGGCAAAAACACACAATAAAAATAGTTAATATTTATGATATATGCCTTTATTTGGCAGGTAGAATACTACTTTTTTGCATACTTCTGTTTTCCCCTTATCATTGCTCTTTTAGGCAGATGATATTCTCAATTTACAAAATGAGGACACTAAAACCCTGACAATAGTCTCAAACAAATTGCCTAACGTCCTCAATTACTAAGTAGTAGGACTAAAATTTGGTATTTGTTCTGATATCCCTTCAGAAACTTTTTTGTTCCTTTTTTCCTGTTATTCTTCCTCCACTGCAACAAAAGAGCCTCTTAGCTATTCCCCGAGCTTCTCATGCATGATTTCACCTCAGACTTTGTTACTTTCTTTGTTCCTCTGCCTAGAATGCCCTCTATCCCATGTAACTGATGGGTTATTTCCTCTAGGTCAAATGTCACCTTCTCAGTGAGACCTACCCTGGTTGTCCTATGAAATATAGCAACTTCAACTTCCCAATATTTCTTATGCTCCTTTCCTTATTTTGCTTTTCTTCACGGTGCTCACACTATTTAAATAGTTTATCCATCTCTCCCATCATCTTCTCTCTGAGAATAGGCCTTTTCTGTTTTATCCACTACTATATAATACTGCCTGGCAAATAAGTTTTGGTTTTTTTTCTACTTATAAATGGAAGATTCTAACTTTTTTTTTCCTACTTACAAATCACAAGGCTTGGGTTTCTATGAAGAGAATCATAAAGTGGAGAGAGGAGTTGGGGGTGGCACTCAGAGATAAGAGCACATGCCCTTCATACATAAGGCCCCGAGTTTCATTCCCAGCATGGGGGATGAAAAGACTAGCAAATCCTGAAATATTCTAGACACACTTTTGATCTTTTAGTAGTTTTAGTATTAATAATCAAAGTGACACCTAGAGTATTTTAAAGAGAATTATTAGCTAGAAAGGATGAGTAAAGAAAGGACTATGAATAACACCTACACACATGCATTAAGGAGTCTAGATATAATAGGGATTATGTTAAGTGTAGAATTTAGAGTCAAACTGTTCCTTTCTAGGTATGCAAACCTAGGCAAGTTACATAACCATTATATGCATCATTTTCCTCAAGTGTAAATGGGTATTGTAACAGTTACTATCATTACAATATTGATACAATGTTAAATATATATTCCTGCATATGTATTAAATGCTAATTATTATTAGCACTATAAATCTGGCATATAAACTCAATGAAAGTATAAACTTTTCATAGTTTATTCTGAAAGGTATTAAACCATCAGCTAATCTGATAAGGACTATAACACATAAAAAACAAGTACTACAAATTAACTGCTACATAGGAATCTAGGACTTACAAAACACATTTATTCCACTATTTTCTAGTATTAACTAAAGTACTATATATTCTGGTATAATACTCACTTTGAGTTTTATTTACAAGTCATTTATAGTATAAAACAGAAATATTTAACTTCATACCTTTTACTTTTACCAATAATTCTCAATCTTTTATTCTCCAACATACAAGAACAATACAGCACACTCCCATTAGGAGCAGTGTCACAGCAGAACAATAATTCTCTAAGTAGGGGGAGAATAGCAAGGGTTGGGTAAAGGTTGGTTTTCAGGATTTGAAAATTATGAGTTTGCATAGTGGGAAAATATATTTGTCTAAAAAGCAGCTATTATTCAAACTCAAGAAATGGAGGTAAATCTATAGAAAAATATAAAGTATATCTCACAGATCCATTTTTAATTTATATCCAAAAAGATACATAAAAATCTCTTACTAGTGTGTTTTCTCCATTGGAACTATTCCAGAGCCTCATTCGATTATCTGTACCAACAGTGAGGAGATGAAGCCCATCACTTGTAAAACATAAGCCATTAACTTTCCCATTATGAGCAGTGTTTGCTGCAATGAAAAATACAGTTCAGTTCTTTTCCTGTATTTGGCATATATTTAATGTGAAAGATAAAATTATTTAAACATATTAAGGAACACTATCTGAGTTACTTAAACTATATATAAATTGATTACATTTAAAATTAACTAACCCTTCAGATTATTTGAATATGATAGGCCATATGAATCAGAACAATAAAAATACAGGAAAATCAAAGGGAGAAAGATCTTGCCAAATATAATTATTTTCAGCAAGTAAACTATGCTATCAAATTCAACTAAATGCATAGCTTAACACTAAAACTTTAATCACCTTTCATCCCTCTTACATATTATTTTCATTTCTAATCAAAAAATCATTCATAGACTCTTAAAAATCATTAAAAAGAAAAGTTTAATGGAAACAGCTGGGCATGGTGGCACCCACCTGTAATTCCAGCTTGGAAGCTGAGGCAAGAGGACTGCAAGTTCAAAGCCAGCCTCAGAAACTTAGCAAGGGCCTAAAAGAGATTCTGTCTCAAAATAAAAAATAAAAATAAAAGGAACTTGGATGTGGTTCAGTAGTTAAGAGCTGCCTCAGGGCTCAATCCTGCTACAAAAAATAAGAATAAAAAAGTTCAATAGAAAGAATAACTGATCATTTCAAATCAAAATTTATTACCACTTCCAAAATTAGTTTGAGAAAGCACAATTCCTAATACTCCGTTACCACAATGTTTCATGTACTTCATCCTACTATACTTCCAGTCCAGAATTAATTCTGAGTGAAAGTTTTTATATAGAGTTAAATTCTAATATAAAAATACAGTTGAGGGCTAAGCCTGTAGCTCAGAGGCAGAGCCCTTGTCTAGCATGTGTGAAGCACTGGGTTTGAGCCTTAGCACCACATAAAAATAAATAAAAGCATTCTGTCCAATTACAACTACAAAAAAAATTAAAAGAAAAAATATAGCTGAGATACATTGTCACAGGGATTGCAGCTGGCTCACATTTAATACAACCTCCAGTTTTATGTTGACACAATGGCACAAATACTACTGATTCTGTAATTTATTGTAGTTTCCTACTTGCCATTTAATTTGTATAGCTAGTCTCATTGGGGGGAAAAATCAGTAAAGCAAATTAATCTAGAAGAGCTTCTGTTTGAAAGTTTGGAGGCAAGAGAAAATGCCATAATTATTCTATTTTTGAGAAAGACAATGGATAACCATAATTTAGTTTAAGTAATTTAAAATGTGATTCATGGCAAATATCTTCCAAAAAAATCATAAAGCTTATGATATATATCATATATTTACCAACATATATTTATTATTTGGCTTCAATTTAAAACCTTAGTATAAAAATTACTATTATCTTATTTCTATATTATTATAATCTTAATTACCTGATTCAGCAGCTTGTGACTTTTTCCCATTATGCTGATCAAGATTAATCAAACATCCTGAAGCTCTCCTCACATCCCATAATTTTACTCTACTGTCAGCACTGGAAAGAAATAAACGTTACTGAATACACGCAGCTAGAATAGCAATTGTACACCTCATGCACATTTCTAGCACTGACACATAGTTTTCATTATATTAACATGAATGTATTTATACAATTGGATTGTTATTCTTTTGCCTTTTTAGCAAATAATCAATACATAATAGTAGCATGAAGATGAGAAACACAGCAAAAGAAAGGACAAAAATTGTGCTTTTATGCTGTTTTTAACTATAGGAGCATCTTCCCTACAAGGTCCTTGCAAGTTTGTTACTACATCTTTTCTATTATTGTTATTCAAATGCTACCTAGACAATAAAGCAGTTAACTAATTTCACTTTCAGAATCTATGTGGCATAAATTAGGTGATTTTCCTTTTTATATAAAACTTGAAAATAAGGTGAATAATGAGAACAATGTATTTTCATTTTTTTAGTTATATATAACACACTTTTTAGTTATATATAACACATTTTGACAAAATTATAAAAGCATGGAATATAATTTGTTCTAATTCAATCCCCAGTACTGCCCTTTCCCTTCCCTCCCCTGCCTTCCCTTCCCTTTACTCTACTGATCTTCCTGCTATTTACTTAAGAGTTCATTCCTTCCTTCCACCCTTCCTCTCTCCCTTCCTTTCAAAATATCCCTTCTAGCCAGAAAGGGGCACACCTAGAGGTTGGAACAGGAGGATTGCGAGTTCAAAGCCATCTTCAGCAAAGGCTAGGCGCTAAGCAATTCAGTGAGACCCCGATTATATAAAATACAAAATAGGGATGGGGTTGTGGCTCAGTGGACAGAGTGCCCCTGAGTTCAATCCCTAGTATGTGCCCTCCCTCCCCGCCCAAATCCCTTCATTTCTATTTTTACCTATTTCTCTCTGCTGGTACTTTCCTCCCATAATATTAAATATTCAATATTCTTCCCTTCAACAAACAACCCATTAAATCTTTTGACCCTTTCACAGTCAAAAGTTTCTGCTTTCCTTTCCTATATTACACCTACCAAAGATGTACCTGTACTAAAGCATCTTTCCAAATGTCCTATGATCACTTATTTTCCCCTTGTTAGATTCTTAGCTCCAGAAAGTCTTAGTTACCTCTGTGGCCCTAGAATAATGTTTGGCACATGGTAGGTAGCCATCAAATGCTGGTAAGTTGAATCAATGAATAAATAGATGTTTTGTATTAGAGTTGAAATAATTCTAGGTTAAAGAAGATGAATAAAAATGCCACTATTAAATTAATATATAGTGTTGTACTTTTGTGTGCAAAAGTGATACCACACAACTATTTCATTAGTAGTATTAGTTGATTTAGATTACTATATAGTTTGTGTTTTCTCTATTCTAAAAGACAAATACCCTCAAGATGGTTAGTTAGGATTAGGATTACGATGCAAAAATTTCTTTACTGATATGAATTAAAAATCTGAAAAAGCATTTCATTTTTTAAGGGCTAATTAATGTGTACATATGCTAAATAAAATGTGTATCCTACATAAACATATTTTTAAAAATGCTTATTATTAATTACTAACATAAACACCAAAATCAAATAAGTTGCATTTTACCTTGCAGTAGCCAAGATATACTCATAACGTGGTGACCAGGAAACTGCCAAGATTTCCTGTCTGTGACCTACAAACATAACTATATGAAAAGTCTTATACAATATTCAAAAATCAGAAGATAAAGTGTCAATAATTGCCTGATTCTGAAGAAAGTAATCATAAATATTAGGAGTGAATGGATACTCTTATTAGTTTTCACATTTATAATGATCTATGTTTAAATGCTACATATTATTTAATATAAAAAGACTGGTTTTGCTTTGGAAAGAACAAAGCAAGTGAATCTTTTATTAAAAAAATACAGTTGTTAGCCTATGTCAGTCAATTCATACAACTCAAGCTTAATTCTTAGTTCTATGATAAAAAGCCACACAATAAAACATAAGACAAACATTTTAAAGGAATACAAATATTTCCTAATTGCTCATAAAGTTGTAACAAAAAATATGTGATTGTAAGCAAGCAAGTGTATAAATTTTTTTCCAGAAAGCACAATTTTTTTCTAGGTTCACAGGGCAATTTCAACATTTTAGCTCACTATTATCACCTAAATGAATTATTCAAATCTGACATATTCACCTGCCAAGCTTACCTCAATAGAAATTCATAATAATATAAAAAATGCTAAACATCCCACCAAATTTTCTTGATACATTTAGTATCCTTTCCTCAGAGATGAATAAAAATGTACATTTCTGGATTATATTTCATTGTTTAGAATTCAAATCTAATACTGACGAAAAAGGAGCAAAAAATTTCAGTCAATATACTTTTTTCAAAGAAGTTTAATTTTTTCTAAAATATTTTTGAAGAAAAAATACACTTAATTAAGAACAATGTATACTCATTAGATGAAACAATATTAGGCAATGCTAATGACACAAATTACTGACATAAGTTTCATCAGCAGTTTATTGTTTTAAATGTAGAAGTAACATAAGGTTTTGAGTTAGACCTATTTTCCCTATCCTTTGAGCTTCCCCTATGGCCACTTGTCAATAGTTCAGTTTTATAAGAATAATGCACAGAAGGATCCTTATTTCACTGTTGACTTTTAACAACTAGCACAAAATACATCACTCATATCACTTACAAAGAATACATTGTTGGTAATGTTTCTTTTTACTGAATGGTTTACTCAAAGTAATAGTTGTTTCAAATTAAAAAAAAAAAAAATACCCTGCAGAATATGAGAACAGGATCCAGACTTTAAGTCACAAAGTTTTACTTTGGGTCCTCTAGTACCAACTGTAAAAACAAACAAAAAAATGGTTTAATATAATGCTAATATAAATCATCATCAAAAGGAAGCAACACATTAACAGGAATCATGACATTTTCACTGTATCCACGCATAGATATAAAAATGTATGCCAAATATACATTTCAAATCATCCTGAATGTTTGTAATTAGAAAAAATATTTTATAGTTATACTTTAGTAGAAAGAGAACTCTATTAGTGCATCATTTTAAAGTTTAAACTAATTACAGATTTGCAAGAAGCTGCAAAACTATTATAAAGAGGCCTGTGTACCCTTTACCCAGATTTCTCAAATCACTTAGTTGACTAAAGTACAATGTCAAAATCAGAAAATTTATCTGGAAATTTAAATGTGTGTGCATAATTCTATGCCATATTTCCCACATCAGATCATTTATTTTAATAGCTTATTTTTTCCAAGTTAACGATATACTTCGAATTGTAACAGATTCACAGAAAATGTGGACAGAGACTGAACCTCAAAGACAAATTAGTGCCTAGCTCTTGTTTATAGATGAAGCATCTGAATGTCTAGAGGCAAAGAGACTTCTGTAGTTCCATAGAAATAACAGAATCATAGTAAACAGATATCCAACACTAGGAAACCTGTTTTTCTTCTATACATATGAAAATGTATATCACGTGCTTTCATATAAATGGATTTAAAATTTTAATATCCTTGTTTTTTAATGTCAAATTGGAAAAGTTGCCAAATTTTGTTCATGTAAAATTTTTGAGCTGGGCATGGTGGCACATGCCTATAATCCCTGCAAGTTGGGAGGGTGAGACAGGAAGATCTCAAGTTTGAAACCAGCCTTAGCAACCCAGTGGGGCCCTTAGCAATTTAGTGAGACCCTGTCTCAAAACTGAAAAAAAAAAAAAAAATTAGAAATGGCTGGAGATGTGGCTTAGTAGTAAAACACCCCGGGGCCCAATCTCCAGTATCAAAAAAATTAGGAAAAAAAAAAAAAATCTTTGGGCTGGGACTATAGCTCAGTGGTAGAGCATTTGCCTTGCACATATGAGGCACTGGGTTCAATCCTTAGCACCATAAAAAAATAAATAAATAAAGGCATTATGTTCATATACAACTAAAAAAATAATTTGAGACTTTAATGATTTAAAATCAACTTTTTAAAATATTAATTTTTAGTTATAGGTGGACACAATATCTTTATTTTATTTTTATGTGGTGCTGAGGATCAAACCCACTGCCTTACGCATGCTAGGCAAACACTCTACCTCTGAGCCACAACCGCAGCATCTTTTAAGGAACAAAAAAATGACCTTTTTTTTTTTTTTTGGTAGTACTGGGGATAGAACCTAGGAACATTCTAGCACTGAGCTGCAACCCCAGCCCTTTTTATTTTGAGACAGGGTCTTGCTAAGCTGCCAAGGCTGGCCTTGAATTTGTGATCCTCCTGCCTTAGCCTCCCTAGTTCTTGGGATTACAGTCATACAACACTGTGCCCATTCAGAAATAGGCTTTCTTAATCTTTGCATCTGGCCCTTAGCAAGTGCTTGACTTCACATTATCTATTGAACCGAACATAAATAGTAACATACTTAAAAAAAACAAAAAACAAAAAACTGTGTGGCTGGGAACTGTGACACATGCCTATGATTTCAGCAACTCAGGAAGCTGAGGTAGACTGGCAAGTTTTAGGCCAGCCTCTGCAATTTAGGGAGGCCCTGTCTCAAAATATAAAAATAAAAAGGGCTGGGAATATACCTCAGTAGTACTATACCCCTAGGTTCAATCCCCAATAGTGCAAGGGGGAAAAAAAAAAGAACTGTCATCATCTGGGTTAAAATGTCTATCACAGCTAAGTAGATAAAAAAGGGAGAAAACTAAGTATGTTAAAAGACAAAAGAACATACATACAAACCTGCTACCAAACAGTGCTTGGTCGCAACTGGAGACATATGATGACTATAAACTGTTTCTTCAAAATTAAATACATCTGCAGTCTGATAAAAAAAAAAAAGACATTTAAAAAGTGTAAGTTATAATGATAAAATCTAAGGAACAGGGATGGGGTTGTAGCTCAGTGGTGGAGCGCTTGTCTTGCATGTATGAGGCATTGGGTTCAATCCTCAGCACCATATACAAATAAATAATAAAAAAAAGGCATTGTGTTCATTTAAAACTAAAAAAACAATTTTTCAAAAATCAAAGGAACAATTTTCTTTTTTCCACATTTTAGCAATTTTTAAATTGACTATTAGCAATTTATTTAGCTTAAACATACAATAAATCCCAGAAATTAAGAAAAGACAGCTATCTGGCTCACCATCTTCCTCTCTACTCACTCTAAGGACTTTCGGTATCCACATGGATGACCTCGCCAGCCATCTGCCTTTCAGTACCCTATGGCCTTAGCCACCTCAGGACATGCTGTTCTATAATTTCTCCTCCTCTGAAATCATTTATTTCAGTTATCCATGACAATAATCACTTTGAATTTTTTCCTTAACTCTTAAGACATTTTAATTAACACTAGGACTCTTATCAGCAGTTCATCCTGTCCCCTTGTTTTCCTTTCCAGCTTGGATTCCAAAGTGTAACACGTCACCCTACCAGTATCTTCCATTCTTTGCCGTTAGCTTTCCATTTGTCAAGATGCCTCTGAATAATTCCAAATGTCAACCTTTTCTGAACTTACATCCAAGGTAATCCTACAAAGGGGTTGACAAACATTTTCTGTAAAGGATAAGACAGTAAAAATTTTAGGCTTTGAGGACCATATAGTTATCTGGGCCATAGTAATGGTAAAGCCTCTACAGACAACTAATGGGAATGTTTGTGTTCCAGTAATATTTTATTTATAAAAAGAGGCCACTAGTAAGACTTGCTACAGTCACAGACTTGGCCAATCCCTGTTCTACCTTGGAAAGATGAAGAATATCTTATAGTTAGCAAACTGGTTATCACTATATAAGATCATTCATTTCAACAGGACTTTCAATCATGACTGCAAGTCCTACTAGTCACTATTTCAGTAGTATTCACCATAATATTCTGCAGCTATTTCAAACTTGATTCACTCCCCACTCATTCACTGCAGGTGATCTGATTTTTCAATTCAACTAGAAAATAGGAGCCACTCAATCAGAATTCCTTTAATGGCTTACCAACAAAACTACAAAACAATAAACCTGCTTCTAATTACCCTTTTTCCTTTTCACTCTTATTATGCAAAAATGATTCCTCTCCATTCCAAAAGTTAATTTCCCTACTTCTGTTCAGACCCTCTTCAGCAGACAGAAATCTCACTCTACAGATTACCTCCCAGGTAGCTATGAATTCTCTCCTTACTGGCTCACTCCAAATAGCACTGAAAGTTCAAATCTCTTATTTTCCCATTTCCCCAAGATAAAAAAAAAAAAAATTAAAACCCCAAATACCTTTCACCTTATATTCCCCTTAGTCTTCTTTCCTCCTCTGCAACATCTAAACTTTGGCTATCTTTAATTCCTTACATTTTATGTACTTCTCAATTCACTGAAATCTTATTTTCAATAGTGGAAGTTTCACTACTGTATTCACACTACTCTTCCAATACCATGGGTTATAGGTAGACACAATATCTTTATTTTATTTTACCTAATTTGTCTGCAACATTCAACACAACTGACTACTCCACAGTCTTTAAAACAATCTCTTGGGCTAGGGTTGTGGTTCAGTGGTAGAGCGCTCTCCTAGCATATGTGAGCGACTGGGTTCCATCCTCAGCACCACGTAAAATAAAAGAAATATATACATAAAAAAATCTCTTTCACTGGTGTCATATGCTCATAAGCTGTTAATTTTACTCTTTGGCTATTCCTTTCATTGCTTTTGCAGGCTTTGTTGTTCCTTTTTTTGTCCTATTAATTCTGACTTCTGGTCGTGAGCTCTTCCAACTTCATTTCTTTAAAAGAAAGCCCTATCTCTGCATTTTCATATAAACATTAGAATTAGCTACTCAATTTCCAAGATTTTGATTGGAATGAGTGATTCTAAAGACCACTTTGGGTAGAACTGGTATCTTCACAATTATTAACTTTCTAATTCTTGAATGTAGCATAATTTACCATTTATTTGGGTCTTAATGTCTCTCAATAATATTTTATAACTTTCTGTGGAGAGTTGAAGTGGTCTTGTAAATTTCTATTCAATCTACTAGTAGATATATAATGATTTTTTATGTAATTGCGAATGGTATTAGTTTTGACATTTCATTTTATAATTGTTTGTGCCTGGAATTCAGAAACAATTGATCTTATATCCAACAACTCTGCTAAATTTATCCATACAAATTCTAATAGTTTGGCTATAGATTCTTTTGTATTTTTTATGTTCATAATCATATTTTCTTTGAATGACAGTTTCAATGTCTCCTTATCGATTCTTTTGCCTTTTATTTCCTTTGTTTGCCTTATTTAACTGGCTAAGGCTTCCAGTACAATGCTGAACAGAGACAATAACAAGATAATTCAATAGGAAAGTTTTCAAATTTTTACCACAAAAAAAAATTTGCTTACATTGTTAAAAAGTTTCTCTCTCTTTTTTAAATCAAATTAAAAGATGTCCCTTTTCCTCATTAAGACTTTAAAAAAAAATCACGAATGGGTAGTGATTTTTATTTAAAAATATTTGGATGTTTTTAGATGATCATGTAATTTTTTACCTTCATTCTAATAACATGGTAAATTACATTAATTAGTTTTTGGATGCTAAAACAACTTTGTTTCTTAAAATAAATACCATTCAATTGTGATATATTCTTCATTTTGTATGTTGCTAGAGTATATTTACTAACAGTCTGTTTAGGATTTTTGTGTGTGTATTTATAAGCCATACCAGTCAATTTCCCATATGATATCCACTGAAGTTTTGAAATCAAGGATGTGCTCACTTCATAAAATGAGTTTGCAAATAAATGTTCTTTCCCCCTGCCCCGCTCCTTTATCATCTTGAGGTTTTTTGTTTTGTTTTTTACCCTTCAAGCTTCAGTATAGGACTGGTATTACTTATTTTTAAAATGCTTACAATAATTTATTGATAAAGGCATCATGACTTGGAGATGTCAGTCTGTCTCTCTTGTCTGATTTTTGGTAGTTTCTGATTGGGTGCCAAAAATTATGTGTGAAAAATGAAAGACTCTATATAATGCCAACATCTTTAGAGAAGGTTCAATCTACCTTTGGTAGGAGGAGAGGTACAGATTATCTCAATTCAATCAGGGAACTGAGTTAATTTATAAACCTGATTTGCTGTCTGTGTAAAACTCTAAAAATTTTCTACTGTTGAGGTAAGGAATCACCATAATCTCAGTTGCTTGCACAAACACAAAATTTATTATCTGCTTACAGGCTAGAAGTATCATATGGGTCCCACTGGACTATAATCAAGGTGCTGGCAATGTTGCCTTCCTTTATGGAAACTCCAAGAGAGAACCCCTTTTCAACTTTGACTTATGGTTCCATCATCCATCTTCAAAGTCAGCAATTTTATATTTCTCATATTATCCCATACTCTAATGCTCTTCCACTGCCTCCCTATTCTACTTTTTAAAATCCTTGTAATTATAGTGGACCCATCAGGATAATCCAGATAAATCTCCATATCTTATGGTCAGGTGATTAACAAACTTAATTTCCGTAAGATATTTAATAGGGTCTGCAGATTATGCCATAGAATCTTGGGAGGGGGGAGTTTTATTCTGCCTCCCACAGGCACCATTTATCTTCTATTTGTACCCATTCTCAGGGTACATCCCTCCAGTTGTCCTAAGAGCCTAGGTTTCTATAGAACTCCTCATACTTAGTAAGTACTATATTGAACATTTCCCCTCAGTACCATGTGAGTGGGGGAAATTGCTATTTTTAGCTTTATTTCTTTGTGGTTTTCTGTAGCATGATAGGCAATGACTCAAGGGGAAAACCAGTATCCAATATTAGGCTGACTTCTCTGTATCTCTCTTATTTATGTGATACTGACCTCTCAACATCTGGTTGACTACTCTCTGCTCCAATTTCTGGCTCTCCAGTCTTATGAAATTGATTGAAGTCCCACTGGCTTCTCTGTCCCTTAAAAGCTATCAAATGTCTACCTTCTCAGTGTCTTGCCCCACATTAAGAAATGGTAAATGGCAAAAATAAAACCCAGCAGAAAGATGAATTCACTTCTATTAGTTTTCTTTTTCTTTAGGATCTATTGTCTAGGTCCTAGATTTCTTAGCAGGGCTTTTCCAAAGCTCTTTCATAAATCTAGTTTTTCCTCAATGGAGGTGCTGTTTTGGCTATAACATACTCCATTTTAGTCAGAAGGGGAAGTTCATGGCATTTATGTAATCCTTAAAATATATTCTCATTTTCAATTCTATGTATTTATTATAAAAATGAATCCAGTCTTGCATGGTAGCACATGTCTCTAATCCCAGCAACTCGGGAGGCTGAGGCAGAAGGATTGTGAGTTCAAAGCCAGTCTCAGCAACTCAGTGAGGCCCTAAGCAACTTAGCAAGATCCTGTCTCAAAATTTAAAATATAAAATAAAAAGGGTTTGGGATGTGGCTCAGTGGATAAGCACCCAATTGGTTCAATCCCAGGTACCTAAATAAATAAATCCAAAATGATCAATGGTGTATTCTCTTCTAATATTACAGATATATATATATAGAAAACAACTATTTAGTTTGAGTAATTACAAGTATTTTCAGTCTGTATTCATTTATAAAACAATATTTGTTATTCAGATTAGAATAATGTTTATACTTCACAGTTTCTTAGTTATTGATATGGGGTTGGTTACTTAGTTCATTGGTTATCCTTAAATTATTTATTCAATAGTTACACACAGCATTGGATTTAGTAGTATATAAAACATAATCCTTTCTTTGTGGAAATAATAATCTAGAAAAACACAAGAGTATGAAAATGATACAAAATAGTACAATAATATTTGAAACAAGAATACAGAAAACAGTGCTATGAAGTTAAAATAGAAGATAATTAATATGGATTCCAGAAGCTGAAATCATTGACTACATGAAAGAACTAGAGGAACCTTAGACATCATATAGATTGATGTTATAGCGCTTAATTTTTTAGTGGAAAAGACCTTTGCTAATTAATTAAATGACTTTACTTAGAGTAACATATCTAATAAGTAGTAGAAGAGGACTAGAACTCTGGCATCCTGAGTCCTGGTTCACCATAACTGTAATAAGAAATGTGACATTAAGGAAAAAGCTGCATAGAGAAGGAAATAAGGGTAGGGAATATTACATAATCAAGATGTGATTAGTGGACAGAGGCGGTCAATTTAGCTGTAGCAAACTATTTATTTTGAAGAATGGTAGAAGTTAGAGTTGATGGAACAAGGGGTGAAGTTATGGGTAACAGAATACCAGGCTGAGTTTAGACAATGGCAACCAGGAGAGGGTTTGCGCAGGGACATGACGAAACGGCTTTGTAATAAGATTACTTCTGCGGTAGAACTTACTGCTTTAATGAAGGAAGAAAAGTAAGGCAAAGAAACCAATAAGGAGTTTTTAGTAGTATAGATGTACAGTGAAGTATGAGAGAGTTTGAGGGAAGACTTGTCAAGATTTTATGATTAAATGGATGTGAGAGATAATGTTTAGTTTGGAACATGTTAAGTTTGAGGGGATGACACTATTTAAGTAAAGAATGTTCTATAGACAGGTAGAGAAATAAGGGTCTAGAACTCAGTGAAGATTAGCACTAAAAATTTAAATTTGCTTACCACAGAAATGATTATCACTATCTACCTTTACTAAGCTATAATATAAATAATTCTTTTAAGCTTTTAGATTGATAGTTGAAAAAGTCCAATTTTCTTCTTTAGATCACAAGACCACAGTAGTTTTCAAACAATAAAGATAACAGCCAACAGGTTTTGAGTATTTACATATGCTAGGCACTGTTCTAGATACTTTACATACATTGGCTTATTGAATCCTTAAATCCATACTGTAAGGTGCCATCATTACTCCTATTTACAGATGAGGAAACTGAGAAACACAGAAGTTTGGACATTTGCCTAGTGTCATACAGCTAGTCAGCAGCAGAGCCAGGATATAAATTCAAGTAGTCTAGCTCCCTTTAACCACTCCACTGCTTTTACATAGAACATGCAAGACCCCTTGGCACACAGTCACATGAAAATGGTTTAGGATTAAATTCTTTATCTACAGAGCATCTTCAGAGAGGTTTCATTGTACTTACTTGTAATGTATTTGTGTCCCATACTTTCAGAGTTTTATCAAATGAACTTGATGTGAACATTCCAGTGTCATGAGGATACCACTGAACAGTCTCCACACTGTACTTGTGAACATCAGGATGGTTTCTACAAAACAGTAATCAACATTTAGAAATAACATGAATTTCAAAACTGGGATTATATTAACCACAAGGAACAGTCTCAGGTAAGATTAAATGAATTGTTACAGCTACACACCTATATGCCTGTGACCTGCCTGTACAGCAGAAGGAAAGAATGTTCAGGCATCTCTAGATTCAAGCTTCCATGGTATGACATGGAGGTCTGCCTCCTCCTAACATTCAAAATATGTGCAACTTCCTATTGTTGTATTATGTACAGTCTGGAGGGATCGGCCAGCTATACTGGGCTTCTTCCATCTTGGTACAGGCAGTGGTTTGTCCTTACTAGAAGAGATCTCTTTTGGTTTTGGATTTACGTTTCTCAAGTTACCTTCTATCAGTACTACCATTTTTAGAATCCAATGCCTCATACACATGCATGGTATCCCACACAATATTGCTTCTTATTAAGGAACTTACTTTATGATAAAAAGACTGCAATTAGTGGATGGCCACAGGATTCACTAGTAACTTATGCAACACATTACCCATAGAAGCATCATCTGTTAAAGATTCAGTTATTGATGTTATGCAACAATACAGCAGGTAGTGCTGGCCTGAAGAAGTCAGTTCATGCTCTGAACTAGTAATCAACACACTATGTGTATTATCCTATTGAATCTTAATTCAAGCAAACTGGCTGTTAAAGAGAATTACGAGACAATGAAGGATATCTAAACACTGACTAGATATTTACTACCAGGAATTATTGAGTGAGACTGGGGTTATGCTTACATAAAAGTCTTTGTGTTTCAAAGATACATGAAAACAAATAGATGAAAAGTTTTCTAGGATTTACTTCAAAATAATCCCAAGGGTGGACAGGTATGGGATAGATTGCTTCCTACTGATAGTTGTTGAGCTGGGTTATGGGACACAATTCATTATATTATTTGCTACTTTTGTATACATGAAAAATTTCTTACAACAAAACAAACAAAAGTTAACAGAAGACTACTGCAACCTCATGCAGACAAAACCACTGCGGGCTCTGATTTCTAAGGTGAAGGTCTGCATCCCAATACTGAACATCTGTGGTGCCAACTGAAGGAAAGAGAACATAAAGCAAAGTCACAAATGCTAGCTCAGGCCTTAAAACAGCTGTAAAAATACAAAGACTGTACTATCTACCCATATTTCCGTACATTCTCTGTTATATATATACTTATATATTTCAACTAATTTCCCCTTGCTTCTTTACCTCCATTATTTTACATAGGTTAACTATATAATCAAGTCCATAGGATATATAACACTAATATAGGGCCATATAATGATAGTGGAAAATCAGATATTACCTTGAGCTGGAGCTGGATACGACACTAAATACATTCAGGATCATAACTCTTTGTGGAAGAGAATGATTCTTTGGTTTTATAGTGAACAGTGTATTGGGTTAGAGTGGAACTTCTTTTTAAAAAGGGTAAGTATGGGAAGAAAGATGTAAATGGATGTTGGGCAGTCAAATAGGTGAATGGCAGTAGACATGCACCCTTTTCTATGGATTCTAAGCATTCAAACTCTTCCTGTTTGGGGGAATCCATTTGTTTTGTTGAAAAGCAAGGTCTTGCCTTTTGTTACAGAAAGCAAAGGATTCCAGATTTCTGTTTTCTCCCCGTTGGCATCAAGGGCAAGGATATGTGTCCTGGGTTTTATCAAGTCTACTTGAGATTCTAAAACTCAAATTACTAATACAAATCCCCAGGAGAGTTAGCATTAATCATATCTGTAGAATTGAGTCAGTGTTGGCAACATATAGCAAAACCCAAACTAACTTGTTCCTCTGGTATGATCTTGACTGAAGATTCTCCCATCTTCCTGATAGTTATGTGAGATACTAAAGATCCTTCCAATAAATTTCTGCTTAAAATAAGAATTGATTTCTACTTCCTCCTAAAAATCTTGACTGTTTTAAATAAAACAAATCTTTACTATAACAACACATAACATCACAAATAAAAGCTAATTTATATTTTCAATGTAAATTTTAAAATAAGACAAAATACCATATTATTCTCTTATTATGTGTGATTTGTTATTCACATTTAATAAAAACTTTGATAAAGGAATCTTTTTAATGCTGAAAAACAAACATATTAAGCATACAGATAATATCAGAAAATAGTCTAAGCCACATAAAATATGATGAGTTTTATTTAAATCATTTTTTTAAAATTAGATTGTAAACACTCCTAGTGTAAAGATGAAATATGAACTCATTTTGTAAAGATGCTCATTATATGCCCATACTCAAATTCAAAGTCATATGTTTAAGATAGGGTTTGAACCCAAGAATAAAGTCATAATAAAACAATACAATGACCCACAAAGCATTTATTTTTGTTACATACCAAAAAATCAGATCACAGTCCACAGAAAAACATTATATGGCATATTATATTTCATATAATATGCAATTTTGCTATATAACAATGTTAAAATGTTAGCTAAGATAAAGTAAGATAAAAAATAAATCAAAGTAATATAACATCATACACTTTGGAATTTAGATATGTACGTTAAGTGTGAGGGTGGGAGTGAGTGTAAATGTTGCCTATGCCTGTGCCTCCTAAAAATCAAGTTCCAGAGTATTTGAGGTGATACCTTGTTCTTTTACTGCTTTTTCACTTATAGTTGTTTTTACAGTTTTCAACATGCTTTTCAAAAAATATTTCATTTATAACAGAAACTTTGTAAAAATGACAGGGAAGTGTAATTATCTCTAAACCAAAATAATCTGAACCTGAGAGAGATGACTTTTGAGTCATTTAAGCGTGTATTTCTAAAGTGAAGCACCAGACACAGAAACAACTGTCAGTCTCATAAACATACATGAATTTCAGAGCCTATAATAGTGCGTTTGAAACAGCTTTAATACAGTCGGGTTGCTGATGTTAATGTATCTGAACTTTGTCCTCTCAGAAGCATTTTCTCAGTACCAATTCCTTCTTTTAATGCAAAGTTCTGCTCAGATAAATTTTATGAGACAGAATTAAATGCTCATCATGAAAAAACTACCACACAGCTACAAAAGTTTATTAGATTCTTAAAAACAATTTTCGCTAGAGATGACAAATAGAAATATGTTTATATGTTAAGCATCTTTAAGTAGAGACAAAGGAATGGTGTATGGGTGTCTCTGTGTGTTTGGTGAGGGAGTATATGCATATTTGTTATGCCTAGCTCTTCATTTTTTTTTTTTAAATTCCTTCTCATTTTTGCAGTATTGGAAATTGGACCCAGGGCCTCACACATGCTATACAAGTGCTCTACCACTGAGCTATATCCTCAGTCCTATATCTAGTTCTTAATCTTTTTATTTCACTAGTATCAAGCCTACTTTATGTTTATAATTAGCTGAAAGACTCCTAATTGAATCTTACATTAAATGGTACTAAAAACTGTAGTTATTCAGATGTGCTCTGTACGTAGAGGGGAAAAAAAAGACAATCAAAATGTTTTTAAGCTGGGCATGGTGGTACATGCCTGTAATCCCAACAGCTCAGGAGGCTGAGACAGGAGGATCCCGAGTTCAAAGCCAGCCTCAGCAATGGCGAGGCGCTGAGCAACTCAGTGAGACCCTGTCTGTAAATAAAATACAAAATAGGGATGTGGCTTAGTGGTTGAGTGCCCCCGAGTTCAATTCCCAGTACCCCCCCCCCCCAAAAAAAAAAGTTTTAAAAAAAGGTCTATATTTGAATTTCAGTTATTTTCAAGAACATATCAAGGGATATCCACGTAAATATGTCATTTGAACAATTTACTTGAGCCATTCATATGACTACTATTTTCATGCTTTACATTTGGTGCAAAAAATACCCAACTGTTTACAAACTCTTGTATCAGATTTTTAATACACACCTGCCGATGGAACACACTGCTTTACATGTGTAATAAAGTTGTCTGCTGGAGTTCTCAAGGTCATAAAGTACAATCACACCATCTGAACCACCTGATAACATGCTGATAACAAAAAAATTCATATTAATTCATTATTTTATGTATTTCTTTTATTTAGGAGAACTGTATAATCTCTGAAAATTGATCTGCAAATACTCAAATGTATTAAGATCATATTTAATTCTTACTAACTCAAGATTTCAATAAACTTAATTTTCTTAAAATGTGTAAAAGAATAAATAAATACAAATTCAATTTTGTGATCATTTAACCTTTATCTTCAGGATTCCAAAAAAAAGAAAAGATAGCGGAAATAATATGGCAAAGGATATTTCTTACTAAAAATGTAAAATATTATGAAGCTGCTTCAAATTCCCTAATTACAACTGTGCTAAATGAAAATGTATCAAAACAGACCATTTATTACCAATTCTAGCTATAGGAGCTTGGGTACATTATATCACCCGTCCAAGTCTTTCAACATTTGTAAAAACACTGGGAATTTCACCTAAATCACAAATTTGATGTAATGATAAAATACCAAATTTATTTTCTTCTTTTTTATTTGAAGGGGGATTATAGGGATTAAATCAAGGTTACTTTACCACTGAGCTATATCCTCAGCCTTTTTGGAAACTACTATAAAAGAAATTTGGGTTCTGTGTGGTGATGCATGCCTGTAATTTCAGTGACTCAGGAGGGTGAGAAAGAAAAATAGCAAATCTGAGGCCAGCTTTAGTGATTTAGCAAGAGCCTGTTTCATAGTTAAAAAAAAAAAAACAAAAAAACAAAAAGGACTGGGGATATAGCTCAGTGGTAGTTTCCTTCCTTCTCTTATGAATGTATACATTAAACTTCAACTGGGCAACTATGAAATGTAAGGCAGTCTGTTAATACAATTAAATAAGACAGGCATGGTTCCTGTCCTCATGGAGTTACAATGTAACAGGACAGGTAATAGACATCCTCACATAAATTACTAGTTGTAAGACATTGGGGTAATAACTTATTTTTATTCTAGTTTGAGGATTCAAGGACTGTTTGCAGACCATCTGATTGTAATTTTCAACTGGCATCTAAAGAAGGAATTAGAGTTAGCCAGACAGGTATATGAAAGTAACAATTCAGGCTCATTCAGAAACTGAAAGAAGGATGTGCCACTGGAGAAGTGTGGGAGAGTGGTATGAGATGAGAGGTCAATGGGGGCAGACAACTTGGAGCCTTATTTTTGAGAATAAAAGAGAGTGACAAAATGTTTCTGGAATCATTTACCTACTTTCAATCAGGTTTATTACATTGGTAGAACCTAAAAACTATTCTATTCAAAAGCTTTGTAAAACAATTTCTAAAAAAGTAAAAGTAATATATAAGCATATACACTAAAACCCTTTATATTGATTGAATTTAGCTTCTAAAATAACTTTTAAAATATTATTCTTGATACTTCATACACTTTAATCAGTTTCTTGCCTTTACCTGTCCTTAAAAATGTGCTACTTACATATTTTTTGAATTAGGCACTTTTCAGTATAGTCTTATGTTTTCTTTTATAACACTGCCTGAAATCATTTTTGAATGTGAAATTGTGCTACCTTTAATTAACTTTCCTGAGGCTTAATATTTTCAATTTTGATAATAATAATAGGTAGAATATGGTAAATTCTTGATTCTTCTTTTATATACTGAAATATGTCTTTTTACATCTTTTCATGTACCTTTTTTCTTTCCCAGTACTGGAGATTGAACCCAAGGGTACTCCACTACTGAGTACATCCCCAGCCCTTCTAATTTTTTATTTTGAGACAGGGTCTTACTAAGTTGTTCAGGCTGCTTAAACTTGCAACCCTCCTGCCTCTACAAGTGTGGGTGGCATTTAAAAAAAAACAAAAACAAAAACAAAAAACAAGATAAAATTCTCTTCAAGGGAGTTCTCTATTTTATGCCTCCTTGGAAGCAAATATAATTATTGCAAAATCTTAGACATTCTGAATTTTATCTATTATTATTCAAAATATAAATTTACCCAACTAAAACAGGAGACCACAAAAGACTATTCTCAAACTTCCAAAAAATAAAGATCTTTCCCAATCACAACTCTATCCTTTTTTCTCCTTTCCAAAGTAACTCATTATGATGAATTTTAGTACTTGTTGCCTTTTTTTCTGCATATCATCACTCAAGAGTATACCCATTAATACTAGTTTTGCTTTTTTTTTAAAAAAATAAATATTTACCTTTAATATGGGTCTCCAATTCACCTTCCCTCCCATCTATTTTTGCCCTTTCTTGCAATTTGTTGAATAAACCAAATCAGTTACCTGCAATTTCTAGCCTAAATTTTGATGACCGCATTTAGGTACGAATTGAAAATGATCTTTATCTGTCACTGATCTCTTTGTTGTGATATGAGATTAGATACCAAACCAATACCTAAATCCACAAATTTATATACTTACATAAAGTCTTGCTATTCATCAATATTATCAATCATTATGTTGCTGCCTCACTAGTCATTCTGGTTGTCTGATTTCATCTCTGACAGTTTCCTAAAGAAGTGCTATGTCGTTATTAATAATTTGTCTTTTCATACTTGTAAATCAAAGTTTTGCTAGATTAAAAACTTCTTAAGCATCTTAAGATAAAAATAACTTCAGTTATTTTAGCATAAAATTCCAAGTCAAAGTCCAGTCATAGCTTTCCCCCTTATACATAGTTTCATATCTTATTTATAAGTAAAAAAAGTTTTCTTGAATTTTAGGGTTTTTAAAAATTTGTTCTTATATAAGACAGCAGACTGTATTTTGACATATGTTTATAGAGTATAATTTCCCATTCTTCTAGTTGTACATGATGTGGAATTACATTGGTCATGTATTCATATATTCATATAGTAATGTCCAATTCATTCTATCTTTCCAATTCCCATTCCCCCTCCTTTCCCCTTCATCTATTCCAAAATACTTATATTTTTCCCTACCCCCACCCTGCTTATTGTCAGTTAGCATCCACATATCAGAGAAAATTCAGCTTTTGTATTTTGGGGGTATTAGCTTACTTGAATTTTAGTTTTAATAACTTATTCTATTCTCTTGATTTGGTTTTCTTCTCTGGGAACTTATATGTATGCTGGATCTTCTTGGCCTGCATTCTCATATGAAGATACCTTTTAAATCCTTTTCCTTATTTCATTTCTTTTTTTTAAATTTTTTTCTCCTTTCCTCCTTTATTTCATGTATTCATTTGCTTGTGTTCCAATGCTTTCGTCTTCATTTTTGAAATTCTTTTATTTCTAATTTTTCTTCAGTTTAATCATCTCATTTCTGTTTTTAATTGATGTAATTCTCTCATAGATTATAGATTTTAAAATGACTTTTGGTCAGCTTTGAAATATTTGCTTATTATTATGGTCTGTGTTATGACAATACTTTTCGGGCACTGTCAGTTATGGCACTACTCTACTTATTCTCTTTGCTTTTAAATAATTTTGCATGAAACTTGATTTTAATGCTATTCTTTTGTTCATTTTATAAAATTAATTTTCTTAAGCCTTTAGAATGGAAGTTTGGTTTAGAATAATGTTTAAATTTTGTAACATCCTCTTTTACCCCCTCCCCTTTGGTAAGATGTTCAAAAATGGGAGTTTATTTTCAGAGCCTTCTTGGTTCTGTTCACTTAAAAATTTTATTTGGACCATCGTTTCCCTTGACTTCTGTTGTCCCTGTACTGTTAAATTTGGATTCTATTCGAAGAAACTTCTCAGTGTAGGGTTCTGTTCTGGAGAGATCTGTTTTTTGACCTGTTAGCTCTTTGGAGCAATTATAAAGCCCAGACTGCTCTACCTCCTTCTGATCTTACTATGGATCCCCTGAATTTACGCACAATTTACATACAAATGAAGTATGCCATGCTCTCCCAGATTCAGCACTGTAATTGAATTGACTTGCTAAGCTTTCAACCTACCCACTGGTTAATTTGGACTTATAACATTCCCCATTATTTTTTACTGACCCCCAACCCAGCCATGGCATAAATGCTGACACCACACAGTCTTGTAGTTACCTGTGGTTTTTTCCCCACATATTCACATTTTGGAATTTATAGGGATACTTCATGACCAGGTTTGGATACAAATATTATGTTTTTTGGCATTTTATCACTGAATATGTTGATTAAAAGATTATCTGATTTTGAACAAAATACAAACACAGAGCAATGCTACTTAATATGTCTCTCATAAAACAAATATGTAGCTTTCTTCACTGAGAAGGTCTTGCTAAAAAAAAGAAAAACAAACAAACAACAATAAAACTTATCTCCTTTAAACTGTTTGTTTAGTGATGTAGGAAACTTACATTCTGGTACAAGCTCCTTGTGTCTTGTTGTAAACCAGTTATGAATAGTTGAACTAGCAGCATGCACTTATTTATAGACTTGTTTAAAAATAATTCAACAATTTGTAGAATAATTAGGTTTAAAAGTAGTTCCTCAAAGGTTCAAAGAGTTTTCAAATCTAATTGATTATGTGCAGCATGGCAAGACAGAAAATTGTGTCATGCTTAACTTTAAAACTATTTGATGTTATTAACTTTATTAAAAAACACTGATACACTTACTCTAATGGCATATATGGAGAAAAATTTGTATACTTAACAACTAGAGAGTTACCACAATGTGTGCCACAACTAATTCCAAAAATATTTCTGCTGTATGAAGCAGAAATATTTCAACTTTGTGAAACTTAGTTTTTAACTATGGCATTGCAAGTGTATCATGTATCATCAATGTAAAACAATTATTTTTAAAGTTGAACTTAACTGAATTTAAATGGCTTTTATGTCAGTTGTTTTACTTTTGTTAGAATGGTGTCTGGAAGTTTTCCTTTGATTTTATTATTTGGATGAAAATACTGAACCATTACCATTAACTGACTTTATAATTGAAGTATTTGATGGCACTAACATTATTTACTTAACTGTTAGATGAATATAATCAATTTAGAAGAATTTAGAAGGTATAAAATAAAATTTAAGCTTTTGACTGATTGTCAGTCCTAGCACAAATGGTGAAACCATATAGTCTTATAGTTACCAGTGTTTGTTCCCACATATTCATATTTTGGGTTTATGGGGATACTTCATGAACAGGTTTTGATATAAACACAATATAATGGAGTAATATGCAAATGTAAGAGTAATATGCAAATATACCTTCTACAGCTGAAGCTGTTAAAATGTAATTTTTGATTTTTTTTTGGGGGGGGGGGTACCAGGGATTGAACTCAGGGGCACTCCACTACTGAGTCACATCCCCAGTCCTATTTTGTATTTTATTTAGAGACAGGGTCTCACTGAGTGCTAAGCGCCTCGAATTGCTAAGGCTGGCTTTAAACTTGTGATCCTCCTGTCTCAGCCTCCTGAGCCACTGGGATTACAGGTGTGTGCCACTGCACCCAACAAAATGTAATTTTTGGATAGTCTTTTTAAATAACACCTTAAAATATTTATTGGTATTTTATGGTTTTCAGTGATTATCCCTGAAGTGCTCATAGTGGATGATAAATATTAACAGATATTGGACAAGTTATATATACATTCATTGTCTTAAGAAAAATCCTTTTCGGGGATAGGGCTGTGGCTCAGTGGCACAGCACTTGCCTGGCATGTGTGAGGCACTGAGTTCGATCCTCAGCACCACATATAAATAAAAAATAAAGGTACATCAACAACTAAAAAATATTTCAGAAAAAAATCCTTTTTATTTATCTTTTGCTACCAAAAGTATTTAATACAAAATGCAAATCTCAATAAACAATGAATCAAACAGCTATAGATTTTTATTATATAATAAAGGGGAATAACACTGTAGCAAGTCTTCAAACTTTTCTCTAAGTTCTATGAAAAGATTCCTTAGACTGTATTTCCCAACCATATTTCATGTACATATAATCTAGAATTTCTCATATTTCCCACTGCCAACTGGCTTCATATACTTCATAGGTCATACAAATAATCATGATGCCAAATGGCTGGCTGGAGTAATAGTAATGAATATTTATTCTTTCCACTAGAACCCAAAACCAAAAGAAATCAGCTATCCCTTGCTTCCCATGTCTGTATACATTTTATAAGTTAGTGTCACATAGCTGTCCTTGAATAGGAAGTGTTATAGTGAGCCTGAAAGAACCAGGAAAAAGAAAACAATTATTGCTGATTATGTTTTAAATTTAACCACATGTAAAAGTGAGAATCTTGTTCCTTGCATGTGTTTCTCATGTACTATGAGGTGAAACCATGGCAGAAGCTGGAAGAAAAAAACAGAAGTTTATGAAACCTATCGAATTATTTTAATATAAATAATAATACTTCATTATACAATAAAAATTATGGGGCAAATATTAAACATAACAAACTATTTTTATTTACTTTTATATATGGTCTAATTATATACCATAGGAAGTATTTTAGCCTCTTTTTTTTTCCTTCTTTTTTGGTGCTGGAGATTGAATTTTAGGTTTCTACCAATGACCAATACTCCCAACTCCTGAATTTTCGTATAAGAGAAAGATTGTGTCATGGTAAGTTGTCAGGAGAATATGTTCAGATTTGGATTTTTTCAAAGGACTTCAGCTATTATATGGTGATGTTTTGAAAAGAATAAAAGTATATGTGATACTGCTTTTGATTATATATTACCTCAATTGATCCACACAACAAACTTGTTAGATAAGTATTATTGTTTCCATTGCATAGCTAAGGCAAATGAGAATTAGAAAGTTGAGGTAAACTGCTCAAGGTCACAAAGATTATAAGTGATAAAGCCAGGAGAAACTCAAACATCCTGTTTGTTCAAACTTAATTCTCCAAAATACAGTTTTACAACAATATCTAAAGACACATTCCAGCACTTAAAAGCCACTCTGAATCCAAAGAAGTTCAATGGTTTTTGATTTAAGATAACTTGGAAATGTCTATTTGGTAACACTTTACCTGTATTTATTTGAAATTTAATAATGCCATTGAAAAAAATGTTACAATTTAGAATTTTTACTTATTTTTAGGAAGCTTCTCCATATTAATCTGCAAAAGCAAGATTTTACTGCATCTTATTTAGAAAAGTGATAATGTACATATAATCAACTTACTATCTCCCTTCAACAGGTTCAATGTCAAGGGTGTTAACTCCACTTCCATGGATTCTTTCAATATCTCTGTCTTTGTTTAACTCCAGTCCCAAAACCCTTTAAATATTAGAAGGAGAAAAAAGAAAGATGAAAATTAACAATAAGAAAGTAATTAAACATAAACAAATTCCTTATTTCACCAAGGTGATATAGAATACAAAAATCATAGCTAATGCTTAAATCTATCACACACTTATATCACACACTTATATTAGAGATCTAAGACTCTGTATAAAATTTTAAAGTATCAATAATTACAGGTAAGTTTTTTCACTTGAATCATCATCCCAAACTTTAACCAGTTTACTTTATTTAAAGTTTTTTAAAAAAAAGAATGAAACAACTTTTTATGAACAAAAAAATTCTGAAAATTTAAGACTTTACTGACGACATCTAGTGAATAAAAGCTTAAATTACAGGATTTAAAAAAAATTCTCTAAGCGTTTCTTATAGAAGAAAAACAAAACAAATGTGTTAAATTCAACAAATAAGCTTTTTAAAATAAAGTCAATTTTCCCTGTTTATCAGAGATTTGATCCCAAGAGGGTGGGACCAAAACCTATTGCTTTGTACCTGTCTTTTCACTTGAGCCAAACCTTGGACCATAGAGCAGAAGTTATGTGGTATAGTCCAAAGTTTCCAGCTGGAAAACAAAACAAGACAGTTCCAGAGTGGTGGAAAATATCAATCAGCAAAACCACAGAGAGGAAGGAACCCAGGAAATAAAACTGTCAGTTACCTCCTGGACTCATCCCTAAATGGAACATGCATGGATTTAACACTGAATAGCATATGAAAGATTTTGGAACCTCAACTAACTAGCATTCAGGTCACAGACTGACCACTGAGTGGCACACAGATCTGAAAAGGCTTTGAAAACTGAACTGACACTGAATTTCATCTTGCTAGTTGCCTGTTAAAACAAAAATATCAACATTCATCATAAGATTGAAACAAGACTCAGAATCTCATAACAATATTCAAAATGTTCAGGATGCAATGCAATATTGTACATGAAGCACAATGAAAACTTAAACTTGCATGGGAAAAGACAATAGAAGACAAAGGAGATGATATGATCTTGGGAAATTATCTTCTTTAAGTCAGTCACAACAAAATGCATGCAGTTGACAGATTGTAAACACAGTTGAAGCAAAAGTTAAAATAAAAAGTTTCAGCAAATATATAATATACAAGAACCAAATGGAAATCTTAAAACTTCTCAATATAAAATTATTTCAATTTAATGGACTCAATAGTAAATGAAGCTGACAGAGGAAAGAGTCAGTGAAGATAGATGAACTGAAATTATACCATCCCTAACAACACAGGGGGGAAAATAGTGGGAGGGTGGGGAAGAACAGAACCTTAGGAACCAATGAAACAATTTAGAAGGACTCATGTTTATGTCACTGGAATTCCAAAAATAGGAGAAAATATACTGAAAAAAAGAAACAAAATGTTTGAAAATATACAACTTGCCAGAGAAAAATCTACAAATTTAAAAAAACACAATAAATCTTATGATAAACCCAAAGAAATCGATACCCAGACACATTATAATCAGACTTATAAAAGCTAAAGACAAGCTCTTTAAAGCAATCAGATAAAAATGACAAATTTTCTAGAGAAAAAAAGTGATTTGAATGACTGCAGATTTCTTTTCAGAAACCATGAAGCTACTAAATCTACTCTAAAAAAATGATCAGCTACAATCTTCAGATAGAAAAGAAACGGTATAAGAAGGAAACTTGGGACATTAGCAATGAAGGAACAACAGAAATGTTAAATATCTAGGTTAATAGACTGATGTTTTTCTTACAATATTTGATGGTTAAAACAAAAATTATAACATTGTCTGATGTGGTTTATTATATCTGTAAATGTGATATATAACACCACAGACAGTGGTGACAGATAAAGGGTAACAAAGTTTCTATATGCCAAAGAAAGCAGTGAAAGGATAAGTAGACAATGAAAAGTATGTATTTTATAATTCCTAAAGCACCCACAAAACTTTACATATAAATGAAGAAATATAGTAAAAAATCACAAGATAAATTAAAATGCAATACTAAATAATGTTCAAACAACCCCCTAAGGAGGCAGGGGCGGGGGTAAAGATGTAGAGCAATGAGTACTCTCATGCCTGCCAGTGAGAATACAAACTGTTTTTGGAAAACTTTTTAAGTTTCTTAAAAAGTGTTAAAATATTCTTATTTCACTACTAGTATTAGCCCATGAAAAATGAAAGTGTATGTCCACACAAAGACTGGTACAAGAATTTTTATATCAGTTTGAAATGTAATAGTCAAAACCTGGAAACAATTCTAGTGTCCATCAACAAGCAAATGGAGAAAACAAATTATGCTATAAAAAGTAATTGATAAATGCAACACATGGAGAAATTTCAAAGTAATTATGCTAAGTGAAAGAGGCCAGCCAAAAAAATGTTCCATTTATACAACATTCTGAATATCCAAATTAATCTACAGATCAGTGATTTTTTAAGTAGGAAGAGGATGGAGATGAGGAAGTAGGGAGGAATTAACAAAGCATCACAACAAAATTTTTAGGCTTAAGGAGTTTTGTCTGTCTCTCCCCCCCACAGTAGTGGGGATTGAACCCAAGGGGGCTCTACCACTGAACTACAACCCCAGACCTTTTTATTTTTTAAGTTGCTGAGGCTGGTCTCATATTTGTGACCCTCCTGACTCAGCCTTCTGAGTCAGTGGGATTACAGGTGTGTGTCATTGTGCACAGCATGTTTATTCTCTTGACTATGGTGATGATTTCAAAAGTATATACATGTCAAAACTCACATTGTACACAATAATTTATATTCATTTGTACAAGTGTATGTCAATTGTACCTCAATAAAGTTGTAAATATTTCTAAAGGGTGTTAATTATGAACACTGTATGCCCCTAACAACCAGAGGAAGTGATGTGTAGGAAACAAAAACAAAAAGAAAAAAACTTCACATTAAAGGAACTCTCAGAGCTATTTCACAATAAAGATGTAAAAGATAAAATGCTGGAATCTGATCCAAATGAAAAAGATCCTCACCTCAAATGGTTAAGTTTTAAAATGAGAAAAGGCAAAATTATTAATCCAAAAAAAGGCCAAGCAATATTCAAACAACTCAATACATATATTTTTAATAAGATAATTTTTAATAAGGTAACTACTCAATATTCTCTTTAACAAATAATTTTGATTCTGTTTCTAACACTGTTTTACATTACAATGTGCTAAGTTACTAGCTTTACTATTTTCATTTTCGTACACATTTGTAACCATAAATGTAATAAAATTTTTAGTATATACATTGGCAAAAAAAATTAAAGATCACAAAATTGCAATTTTCCCCACTGATTAAGAACATTTTGCAGAGGTAAGGCTGCACAGCCAGTTTTACAGACTTTCACTACTGTGCAAAAGAGAGCACTACCTGCATATATGTCAACTGTTTGAAGTAGATTTAATGTGCTGAGTATAATATTTCTTTTTTCAAAATATACTCATGTTATACATATTCAATGATTTTTACATTTGGATAAAATTTATTCAATTTATTTTAGTGGAGTGAAAATCTAAGACATATGCAAAGAGGTGAATGTGGAATCTTTCTCAAGCAATGATTCTAATCCTAGCTATACATTAGAATAATCTAGGTAGCTTTAAAAAATTCTGCTGTCTTAGGACAACTTAAGTCAGAATCTCTGGATATGGAACTTTGGCATGAATATGCTTTGCAACCACCTCAGGTGATTGTAATAGTCTGAAAAAGTTTTATCGCCTCCCATCATTTGTAAGATATCATTCCTTTTTGAATAGCATTTTGTTTTAAGTCATTTGTTTGGACTGAGTATTTCATAAGTGGTTCATTTAGTTTTTTTAAGAAAATGAACTCTTTTTGCATTAATATTTCACACTAAAATGAAATAATAATAATAATAATAAGAAGAAGAAGTAGTAGTAGTAGTAGTAGTAGTAGTAGTAGTTAGGGCTGGGATTGTGGCTCAGTGGCAGGGCGCTTGCCTCACAAGTACGAGCCACTGGGTTCAGCACCACATAAAAACATGTAAATAAAATAAAGGTATCGTGTCCATCTACAACTAAAAAATTATTTTAAAAAAAGAATAAGTGAAACTGACATTAATGGGATTAGCAACAAATACTGAGTTTTGATAAGTACACAAAGCAGTTGATAGAAGAGCTGTGAATGGCATCACAGGGTTTTGGGCAGAAATGGTTAAATTATGATTTGGGAATCACATTTTCAGAGAAATGAAATCCATTTACAGATAAGTTAATATAGTGATCTGGTTAAGAGACTTCTCACTGTTTTGAACTTTTAGTACTTTCAATGAAATGAGAGGTTTAGGTCACAGAGTTATGACAAAGACTTATACTTAGGTGCTTTTTTTAGATCAAGAACATTTTTAGAATTAAAAGACTGACAAACTCAGCTTTTCAGTGGCTCATATATTTAAATTATTTCTGACATTGTAATATCTCTAAACATTATTAAATTTAACTATAGGAAAAAAGAAGTAATGCTGTTTTTTTTTAAGACTAAAGCTATTTTTGCTGAAATTAAAGATGAGGGAATAGCCAAGTTCACTCACTTGACAACATTTACTTCAGTGATTATAATAGAAGAATTGCAGAACTTAGTATAAACAAATTGCTTTATCAGAGGAGATTGACATATTTTGCAATCACCTGAGGTGGTTGTAAAGCATGTTCATGCCAATGTTCCATATCTAGAGATTCTGACTTAAGTTGTCCTAAGACAGCATTTTTAAAATTTAAATTTTAAATACATTTTGGTATAAATTTGGCTTGCATTTTTGCAGTCATTGAAATAAAAAACCTCCGGATATTTCTATGTTATATAACCCATTACAGTAGATGACTGTGTTGAAAAAAAAATATTACGGTCATCTCTGCACTAAATGGGATTAGGGAGAGGAAGTCAACAGGGGACATAACTTCATTCATGTTTAGAGCTAACCAAAATGTGCCTCAAACAAACAAGAAAGATTTGCAGGGCCCAGTGGTGCATTCCTATAATTCCAGTGGCTCAGGAGGATTGGGAGAAAGGAGGATCTGGAGTTCAAAGTCAGCCTCAGCAATGGCAAGGCACTAAGCAACTCAGTGAGACCCTGTCTCTAAATAAAATACAAAACGTGGCTGGGGATTTGGCTGAGTTGTTGAGTGCCCCTGAGCTCAATCCCCAATACCAAAACAAACAAACAAACAAACAAAAAAACTTATCTAGATAAAATTACATTCAATATTTTGAAACATTTACCAAACATGTAATCCTAAAATGTAAAGATTAAACAACATTTTAGTGCATAAAACATTACGGAATTGTTTGTAGAAAATAGCTAAATGACCACCTAGGATTATCTATTAAAATAAATTATTATTTTGTCTGTTTCTGAGTTGTGGCAGAAAGCCTAGAAATGACCTTCCAAAGTCTCTAATTCTTGGTATTCACGACCTTAGGTAATTTTCTCTCCTTAAATGTGAGCAAGACCTAGTGACTCACTTCTGATGACTAGAATATGACAAAAGTAATGAGATGTCACTTATGAGATTGGATTATAAAAGCAGTCTGGATTCCTTCTTGCTTTCTTGTTTGCTTTTATAGGAGCCAGTTGTCATGCTGGGATCTACTCTATGGAGAGAACCATGTGGCAAGGAATTGAGGAAGTCTGGGCCAAAGTCAATGAAGAACCAAATCCTGTCAATAGCTACTTTAGTGCACTTGGAGGCAGATCTTTACCTAGTCCAGTTGAGAAATGACTACAGCCCCATTCAATATTTTGAATATAGTCTCGTAAGAAACACTGAGCCAGAGAGAGAACCCAGTTAAAATACGTTAAGATTCGTGACATCTTTAGCCTGTGAGATAACAAATCTTTCAGTTATTTAAGTTTGGGATACTTTGTTACCCAGGTATTGATAACTAATGCATAGTTGAGTTCTTCCTTTGATATATTAGAATGAATCATACCCAGTTTGTCAATATTAATTGCCTATTGATTTAAATTTGAGAAAGTCATTAATGTTACCAATACCAATTTGCTTCTTTCTCTTATTTTTATTCCTACCATTTCTCTGAAACTACTTTTCCCAAGGTCATTTGTATTTAGTCTATCAGTTAAATGCAACATGTGCTTTTAAGTCCTCATATTTATTGAGTGTATGTCACTCACAAAATACTTATTAAACTTCTATCATGGGCCAAACCCTTTTTGAGGCCTAGAATACAGGTCTTTTGTTCTTTGGGGGATTAAGAAGACAATGATATAGTAGAAAAAATATATAATACAATTTCAGTAGGAATAAATTGCACAAAGAAAGATAAAGTTGAGTAATATGAAAGGAAGTACTGAGTGCAAAGAGGGCAGGCAGTATTTGACACATTTGATGGCTCCGTCCTTAAAACACTGTGTTCCCTCAGTGAGGTTTTAACTCTACCTCACTGGCTACTCATTGTAAGTTCATCTGCATTCTCTTCTTCTGTCCAATCTTTTTGTCTCCTGGGGCTGGGGATCAAGCCCCAAGCTTTGTTCATAGGAGGCAAGTACTCTTCCACTGAGCTACTTCCCAGCACCTTCTGTCTAACCTTAAATGCTTATGTTTTTTAGATTTTTGCCATTTGCGGAGAGCAGTGATTTAAATCATGGTCTTTCTGACTCTCTGGTGACTGCGTTTGTGCTGGGAACTGCCTGTGCAAAAGTGCAGGTCAAGATGGCCTAGCTGTATGGTGATTGTAGCCAAAGGAAACTCTGTGCAAAAGTTCAGTTATCAGTGGGAACCGTGAGCTCAGGCACGAGCTCCCAGGGAGAGAAAATCCCAAGCAAGATGACCCTAATGTCTCACCAGTCCTGTGTCCTTCCAATTACCTGCTTTGCTGAAATTTTCCCACAAATAACCTTTTGGTGAAACCTACATAATAAACGTGCTTAACTAACTCTAGGTCAGTCAAACTCTATCAGACTGCCCACCTGGGCCAACCTTTTTCTATGTGTGTCTATTTGTTTTTTCTTCATCTCCCATCACCCCTCGTCTAGTTTCTCAATTAATGGCTGCGGTTGAGGGCAAGCTGATCTTATCTCTTTGTGACTTCCTGTACCTTAAAGAAATCTAAATTTCCCTTGAGCACATAACTCAAATACGCAACTATGTCCTCCACTCTGACTGAATATATTCAGGTTCCTCAAAATCATGTGGGCAAAACTAAAAGTAAAACTTGCTTCCCCTTTGGAACGTCTTGTCTCAGAGGGTGTCATCAACATCCAACTTCCTACCCAAGGGATATATCTGGGAATCATTATTGACTGTTCCGTTTTCATCATTCACTTATCCACATATTTTCCATGGCTGTTTATATTTCTCGGGCATTTTTCAAACTTCTTCATTTTCTTCATCCCTTTTGCCTCCTCCCTGCCCCTGGTTTCCATCAGTTCTTTTCTGGACAAGGGCAATATTCACCTAAATTGACTCCTACTCTTGCTCTCAACTTCAACCCATTCTTCAAGGAGAAGTCAAAACCGAATATATGTGACTTTACTCTCATTTTCATACTTTGACGCAAGCACACAAGGCTCTTCCCCATCGAGCTTCTGCCAATTACTCCAAGTACATCTTTTGTCCATGGCCCCCGACCTCGTCTCTAGGATTCAGCCACTGAGCCAAATTTTAATTGGCCGGTTAGAGGAAAAGGTAAGATTTTCTTTACCTCCGTGTGGACTCCGTTCTCTGGAAGCGCAGAGGGTCTTCCAAACCCGCTTGTCGCGCGGACAAAAAGCCCAGCATCGCGTTTCCTCACCTCAGCTTGCACCCTGGACGCAGCCATGACAGGGTTCGGAGGAGGGGCTGCAATAGCAGAGCTTCCCATTGGCCAAGCTGTGATACCATCTGACCAATGGTGAGTGCCGTTACTCGGAGGGCTCACGGATGGAGGCTGGCTGGTCTCTTCGGACGCGGTGGGCGGGGTCAGCGGCTGGAGCGTCACTCCCAGCGCCCCCGCAGATCTGCATCGGTTCTAGCCCGGATCTTAGTGGCAGGCATGGGTTGGTCTCTGGGTTTGTTTCGCGCCTTGTGGAGAGCGCTGTCAAAGGAGGTGAAGGAACACGTGGGTACAGACCACCTCGGAAACAAGTACTACTTCATCCCGGAGTACAAGAACTGGAGAGGTGAGACGAGAGAGAGGCCAGCGTTTGCCTGCTCGGTGAATGAGGGAAAGTGAGAGTGTCTTGTCAACTGCCGGGGGACACTCAGTGTCTCACCGAGGGTAAATCCCGAGTTGGGCCGCCCCGCCCTCTCTTTCCCTAGGGTGTCGTAGCCTCGCGGTGTCTGACCCTGGGTTGTGCGCTGCGCCCAGGCCTTGTGAACTCGCGGTCCCTGTCCTGCAGCACCTTCCCAGCTGAGCCCCTGCGGCCGGCGAGAGCACCGCGCACGCTCCTGAACCCCTGCGGAGGGCTTAGTTCTGGCCCTTGGGAGACATAGACTGGGATTCTAGCGCCCGAGTCTTTTGCTTGAGAAGCGGGTTGTGGCTTTCCCTGAGCCTGTGCCTGGCTTGAGACGAGGGCGGAATGGTGTGTAATTGAAGAGGGGTGTCTTCAGCGGCAGGGCTTTCCTCTTTCTCACCGTTTGACTTTCTCTGCACCTTGGCTCTGCCGTGGTCAGTGTCTTCACAACCCAAATCTGTCAGAAGTAGATCGGTGCACTCTGTTCTCTTCTAATCATTCAAGGGCCCCTGTTCCCTTTCCCGGAAATTTGCGTCCTAAGACCTCAGTTATAGAAGCCTGCCTCTAATCGTGTCCTTTCTGTGCAGGATTCGTGCCAAGTAGTGAATCAAGTGGTCTGGGGTGTTAGGAAGCGTTCCTTTCCGGCGAAATCACACCTTATATCAGTCCTCAAAACCTCTTCTGTGTTCTATCACCTCGATGCTTAAGATCTCAGGTTTGAGGTGAAAGAAGTTGGATTAAAATCTCCCCTCTGACGCCTAATGACTTAGGGATCACAGGCAAAATAGTTGTCTTCCCACCTCTCAGTATTCCTGTTTGAAAGTTAAATAGTAACAACAGTAATAATGAAAAGAACAAAGACCTTTTCAAAATTGTGTTTCACTTATTTCCCGCACACATTAATTGTATTTTACGATTTTCATTCAAATTTGTTTTGCCTAGCCTTCTCCGGTGACTTAATATCTTAGACTTGTTTTCCTAATGAGCTTTTTTAAACTGTCAGGGCAAAAAATATGATGCTTTCAGCTTCCTGTCCCCAGACAACCATTGATCTGATTTCTAAAACTATAGTTTGCATTTTCTAGAATTTTATGTAAATGGAAGTATACAGCATGTTTTATTTTTACCCTCGGTTTTTCACTGAGCATATTGATTTTGAGATTCATCCACGTGTTGGTATTTACCATAAGTTTATCCCTTTTATTGCTAATATTCCACTGTATGGATATGCCATAATTTTTTCATAATTTGTTATGAACAGATGAATACCTGTTAATAGATGTTTGGATTGTTTACAGTTTGGGGCTATTAGAAATAAATTATGAACGTCCATAAATGTCTTTTAATAGACATATGCTTTAATTTCTCTTGATTACATATCTTGAAGTGGAATGGCAGGTAAACTTGTAGATGTATGTTAAAAAGTGATGGTACCATTTTGCATCGCAGCCAGAATGTATGAGAGTTGCAGTTTTTCCACATCAACACTGGGTATGGTTACTAATTTTAGTCATTCTAGTTGGTTCATAGTAATATCTCATTTTTTTTCTAGTGTTCTTTTTGCTATTTAAAATTTTTTACTTTCCAATTAAATACAGTAAAATTGACTTTTTAAATTGGTGTGCAGTTCTATATACTTGAACACAATGAAATTTTAACCAAACAATATTATTCAGCAATTAAAAGAAATGAGCTATTATGCTACAAAAAGATATGGAGAAAAACATTGCTAAATATTACTAAATGCATACTACTAATAAGTGAAAATATCAATCTAAAAAGGTTATGTGCTGTAAGGTAATATAAAGGTTATGTACTGTAAGATTAATGTAAGGGGATCACAGTCAGCATACAGAACTGCTTTCTTTCTCTCAGTTACTCCTTCATGCTAATATTCTGTTACGATTTTTTTCCCCATTCCTAACTATGGCAAACACCACTTAGTTCTCTGTCATTTTGATTTTTTCTTTTTGAAAATGTTGCACATATAGAATTATAACCTGTTGTAACCTTTTGAAACTGGTTTCTTCCATACAATGTAATGCCTTTGAGATTCATTGCATGTATCTGTAGTTTGTTCCTTTTTATGTTGACTATTGACTAGTGTTCCTTGTTATGGATATACCACAGTTTGTACATTTACCCGTTGAAAGACGTTTGGGCTGCTTCTAGGTTTGGGTACTTAAGAGTAGAACTGCAAGAAACATTCACATGTGAGTTTTATATGAACATAAGTTTTCATTTCCTATGAGTGTATACCCCAGTAGTGTGAGTGCTAGATCATAGCAACTTCAGCTTGCTCTTTAAAATGTGAATAATAATATTTACCTAGCATCACAAGATATTTTTGTTACTCACAAAAAACAAGAAAGAGCATTAAGAGAATTAAATATAATGTCAAAATCCATTTGAGTTAATTTTTGGAGGACTTTTACTTGGTGTTTCTTTAATTTCTTTTTCATATGACTTGTATTTGTTAGTGTAGACATTATGCAAATATTTTGTTACATTTATTGTGAAGTGTATTATATTGTGTGGTTACTATAAATGTGCTTCTAAAAGTAAATTTCCGGTTTCTTATTGCTTGTATGTAGAAATACAATTAATTTTTTTAATGTTAATCAGCCATATTGCAGTGTATTTTATGTTCTGCCTAGCCCTTTGCAGATTTGGGCATTATGTCAACTGCTGATAGAGACAGTTCTGTTTTTTCCTTTTCCAACTTGTTTGCCTTCTATTTCCTTTCCCTTCCTGGTTGCACTGGATTGGACCTTCAGTATAATATTGAATAAAAGTGGTAAGAGTAAATATTTTTGCCTTATTTCCCATCTTAGGAAGAAAGCACTTGGTTTTTTATTATTAAGTATAAAGTTACTTCTAATTTTTTTCAGATGCCTGTTCTGAGGTTAACAAAGGTCCTTACTATTTGTAGTTTGCTGAGAGGTTTCTTTTTTTTTTCTTCATGAATGAAGCTTGAAATTTATCCAATGCTCATTTGCTTTTTTTTGGTATCTATTAAGATAATAATAATTCATACAATATAATATGAATTATTTTTAAAAGTCAATATAATATGAATTATATTGACTTTTAAAAATTAATAGACTTTATTTTTTAGAGCAGTTTCAGAATAATTGATTGAAACTACTCAGATACTCCCTTTCCTCCTCTTCAGCAGTTTCTCCTGGTATGGATATCTTGCTTTAGTATTTCCTCCCACTTCCCTCCCTACCTTTCACTTAACTCCCTAGTGAGTGACCACTGATCTTTTCACTGTCTCTCTGGTTTGCCTTTTCGAGGATGTTATATAGTTTGAGTCACACAGCACATGACCTTTTTTGATTGGATTTTTTTTCACTTAGTAGTATGCATATAGTAATACTTAGTAGTGTTTTTCTTCATGTCTTTTTATATCATAATAGCTCATTTGTTTTTATTGCTGAATAATATTCCATTGTGTGGTGAAGCCATTGTTTGTGTATTAATTTACTTATTGAAGGATATCTTGCTTGCTTCCAATTTTTGGCAGTTATGAATAAAGCTATTAAAAATCATGTGCAGGTGGTTTTTTGTTTGTTTGTTTTTTTGCCTGAACCTAAGTTTTGAACTCGCTCATTTGACATTGTTGAATGTTTTGAATGTTACATTTGTGGAATAAACTCCATTTGGTCATAATGTATTATCTTTTTTTGTTATTATTGCATTTGGTGTCCTGACGCTTCGTTGAGGAATTCTGAGTTTTTTTATCCTTGAGGATCTTGATGTCTTCTTGTAATGTCTTTTTCTGGATTTGTTATTAGGGTTATGCTGGTCTCATAGAGTGAGTTGGATTGTGTTCCCTTCTCTTGAATTTTCTGGTAGAGTTTGGGAGAATTTGTATTGTTTCTTAATTGGCATAAATCACCTAAGAAGCCATTATGTCTTAGATGGCTTTTTTTGTTGGAAGCTTTTAAACTACAAATTCAATAACTTTAACAGATATAATAAGACTTCTTAGGCTATCTATTTTGTCTTGGATGAACTTTGGTAATTTTTGCTGTTACTAATAGTAAGTTAGTACTAATCAGTTAAGTATTATCTAGATATTAGGACTATTATCTAGACGATTATAACTAGATAAATATTCATGAGTTATGACAGCTATTGATATTCTGGTCATGGAAATATTTTTATAAGAATGTTTATAGAATTACTATTAGTAATTGCAAGGGGAAAAGTTATATCTGTACATGTTTTGGACATTCTAAAAATGTGATTTTGGGGTCAAATGATGTCCATTCATCTTTCACTGTATTATAGTCAAAATTGTTCTCCAGTGTTCTTACCTCTCCTGAATTCCTGTATTGTTGGTTGTGAGAAAATCAGGCCTTTGTTGATGATGTAGAAGAAATTAATCTCCAGTATGCTGCTGCCTAGTATATCGGAGTGCCTAGGTTCTTAATCATTAAAGCTGGAAACACAGACATGTTATGGCCCATAAATACTACTAGGCATTTCCTAAGCATTCCACTATGAATTCAGGCAAAATCCCTGTTTTTTTTTTAACAATAAATATTTCCAAAATGAGTCATCTAACTCTATTTCCTTGATACAAAAGGTGATCATTAAGAAATCTTGAATTTTCTTTGCATTGCATAAATTGTTGAGCATTTAACACCATTAATGCAAAAGAATATTTAAGAATTCTTTTAGGAGTTGGGCCCGTAGCTCAGTGTAGAGTGCTTGCCTAGAACAGGTGAGGCACTGGGTTCTATCCTCAGCACCACATCAAAAATAAATAAACTAAATTTATAAAAAAATGTTTTTTTAAAAGAGTTCTTTTAAAAATTACTTTTTTTATTCATTTAGTATGGTATTAGTCATCAAAGAGCTATATTTTTCACATAAAGTTTTATTTGATGAGAAAAGATAGGTAACTCAAATCTGTTAAGTATTATTTAGTCATA